AATAATAAATATAATTATTGAATGATTGATAAAATGTTCACTTTTGTAAAACTTGCTTTGCAAGCTTCATAAAAACGCTTATACAAACTATTGAATAATTGATAAAACATTTGTTAGAATATTTTGCAAGCTTCATAGATCTTGTCCTTAAAGTTTACTTCGATCACTCCTGCACAAACTATTGAATAATTGATAAAATGTTTGTTAGAATATTTTGCAAGTTTCATAGATCTTGTCCTTAACACTTGTACAAACTATTGAATAATCAATGAAAAATCATTAGAATATTTTGTTCATAGACCCTATAAAAAATTTAGTCAGAAAATGTATGGTTTTTCCATACATTTTCCGCATATTCCATATGGAATATGTACAGAATTATACATTAAAAGAGCACTTTTCCGTACATATTTGCCCCGAAAATGCACTGAAAATGTATGAAAAATACATGGAAAAATGCATGGAATATTGGGGTGTCTTACATTATATGATTTTACAAACATAGTCGATCACATATATAAATTTTCATATATGACAATTTTTTGCCGATCTTTTTTTCAATAGTAAACTTTGAATGATTATAACTCTTTAAAGAATAGAGATGCTGACTCCGAGTTAAGTTTAAAACATACTAGAGAAATAGGACAATAAAGTAATAGAGCCCTTTTTTTTATTTTAATATAAACAATGGCATTTATTTTAAGCTAGAAAATCAAAGTAAAAGTTGCAAATATATGTTACAAAATTTTATGCAAGTAAAATTGTAAAAAGCTCTCTATTAGTTTAAAGAGCATCAAAAAGTGAATCTAAAACATAAATTTTATTTGAATATGACATATATTTTAAGAGTTATTTTGAGTTTTGTAATTGTGCGAAGTTTGCCAATTTGTATAATAAATTTAAAAATTTTTTTGTGGCACCAAAAAAATAATAATAAATCCGCAAAACCCCTAAAAAATCCTTATTAATGAAAATTTATATGTGATCAACTGTTTGTAAATCATATGATGTGAGACACCCCAATGGAATATGTATGGAATTTTCGGAAAATGACCTGAAATTACATCCGGACATTTTCCTATGCATTTTCTGTACATTTTCCGTGCTTAACATCCATACGAATTCACGGAAAAAAAATACAGAAATGCACAGGAAAATGTACGAAATGTATTTTTAGGACATTTTCAGAACAAATATGTACGGAAAAGCGCTCTTTTCATGTATAATTCCGTGAATATTCCATATAAAATGCACGGAAAACCATACTAATACATTATCTGAAAAATTTTTATACCATTATTATGTGTTTTTTCCCACCAAATATTTTACAATGAATAATGCAACACAACCTTTCTTGTATAATTTATCCTCGATAATACGGATATAATAGGCTAAAATTTACGTACGTAGTCAATTTGAATTTCGTATCCAAACACATCACTCCATTAATAATAAAACACGATTTGATTTTGAATTAATAATAACAAATAGTTAATATCAATGTTTTTATTATTACAGTTATACATAATAGAAAAATAAGCGAATAAAATATAAACTAACTACATGATTATTTTTCGTATACTAAATATTGAATTATTTATAACAAAAATTTTATACATATTGTTGAAAAATCCAAAGCAATATTTTACTTGGTTTCAAATAAATATTCTCTCCCTACTATCATGTGCATGTGTAGCTATCAGTAGTACACTCTGTTCCAATTTCACAACACCCTCCAAGATCATCGTTACAGCAATAATAGTTAATATCCGTACAACATGTACCACCTGTACATTCAACTGGACAAGTTACATCCTGAATACTTAGAATAGCAGTTACACGAGCTGGTGCAGGTTTAGCAGCAAAAGATCCGAAGGATCCGAAGAAAGACACAAGAACAAGGATTAAGATGAAATTCTTCATTTGAAAGTGCGTCGGAATAAAGATATTTTTATGTTTATATTAATTCAATAACAGAAATATGATTTTAATAAATATATTAGAACAATAATGATTATAATATAAATTTTTTGGATTTTTTGATGAAAAGAATATGGGTTTAAACCGAGTCTTTTTATAATGATTTGAAATGGGAAGTTATCTCCTTTTTAAAACTATTATTAACAATGATTTTTTGCCATATTGTACGCAATCAATTAAAAAAGGTATTCGAGTTTCTATTCCGCGGCTGTGAATATTTTTTGGGTACACGAAATTACCAGTTGCACAAGATAGATAAAAGTATGTTATTCAATTATGTATATACAAATTAAACAAATTAAGTAATCCTTTTAATAGGAGTGTAACATAGTAATTTTATTAGCTCCTCAGAGATCAATTCAAAATAGCAATGAAACCATTTTTGTGCGGTAAAAGAAATTGTGGCACTATTGATTGCGGAAATAGCTGATGAATTAGTATTATTATTTTTTCTCAAAAAAAAAATTTTATTTTAGTCGAATTACCAAACCTGAACGTCATTCCTCCAACATCAATCAATCGATAGTGTAATTGTGGTATATTCAATATTAATATTCACGGAGCTGTTTTAATAATTAAGTATTGTTCTTCGTGAACGTTTATTTTGATATACACTATGTTGTGTTTCAAAAAAAAAAAATTTTCGCTTTGCATGATAATAAACGCTTATTGCATGTCGTTTGAAACAAATTACGCGGCGCAAAAACTTTCGTTACTGAAAAAAGAATTCGTATAATAGACTGGAAATTCAACAGCCCTAACATTGAAAATATATAAAAAATAACGTTAAAAAAGGGATGACAAGGAATGTTGACGAATTGAAGAAACTTATGGTTAAAGAATTCCTCAGGAAACAGACAAAAATATTTTTTTTGGAAAAAAACAACAATAGGATTTTTTGGTTTTCAAATGAATCCAGTTTTGTTTATCTACCTTGCATAATTGTTGAAGTCCTAAAGGTCCTTGTGTAACGATAAACTTTTTTGTCAATAATAAATAATACGTAGAAAATACATACAATAGAACATTTTGGTGGTCAGAAATTAAACAGTATGGTTTAATTGTCCGTTTGGTTATCACAGTGATATAGAACTCTGAGGTTTCGAGTATTTGCTTTGGTATAAAGTAAAGTTTTGGTTTTGGTTTTTGTTAAGCATAACATTTTTATGTAAACGGGTTTAATTGTTTAAATGTAAATGTAAGGTGTTAATAACAATTGGCAAAAGTATCTTATTGATTGGCCATCTATACAAAGAGATAACAGTTATCGCCATCACATATTGTATTATGTTAAAATAGTTGTTGTAAACGCACGTCTGACTTTAATTGACTAAAGAAAAGTAAAAATTAAAATAAATCTATAGGAGCCTTTGTCGCTTTTATTATAATTCTTTGTTATTTGTAACCTTTTAAGTATAAGAAAGAGGCAGTAGACAGGTTAAGTTCGTAAAATAAACTAATTGACAAGTGCAGCTAAAATGTTAACTCAAACTCGGCCATGCAATGTAAAATAATTGAGGTTGACCAAAAAGCTACCTCGCAATATTCCAAACATTTTATGTTTAAGGATTTTTTCAGGACTTTAGGTCCCAGAACTTAAGTCTGATCCGGTCCCATGATAGGACTACCAAGACCGGATGGTTAAGGACCGATTAATATCTCTAGTTTTGAAACAGTCAGGGATTTTACTAATTTGGATGTTGGACGACTAACATATTGGAAAAAAAAATTATTTAATTAGTGGTACGTAAATGAATCAGAGTTTTTAACAATAAATGTGCACAAAAATTGCCAATTGTATTATTTTTGTGCCACAAGATGAATAAAATTAATCTCAAAAAATAATTTATCTAAAAATTAAGATAGTTTGTGTGATGAATAAAGAATTTATATGTAGTAAACACAGATTTGAGGGTCTCTCCGATTCATTCACGGTTCAGCAATTAAAAAACTTCTAATTATAACCATTGAAATAAATACTATTCGAGTCGCTCTTTCATAATCTGTTAATCTGTTCAAAGTATGATTTTACTAAAAATCAAGGAATTTTGCATGGCAGGGGTTTGGTTTTTTTCTCTGAACAAATATATTTCTATATTTCAGCTATGATCCAATGATCCAACGGGTATTGAAAGTTATATAACAGTCGCAGGACATTTCCCGCAGATCTATTAGGGTTTGTAAAATTTGGATGATCTGCATCATAGTAAAATTTTATAATCGAATGTCCTCACACCCTCGTTTGATACCCTTGCTGTGTACCAACCACCACCAGATTTGAGATGTTATCATATGTATCTGCTTTATGAAAATTTTTAAAGCAGGTTGTTAATAAAACCGAAAATAATCTGACCCTCAAAGTCAAATTTTGCCTTTATATTCAT